GAGATTGCAGGTGGTTTGGTGATGTTGTTACTTCTAAGTGTCCTTGAATGTAACTTGTAAAAGAGCTGCGGAGGCAATTCTCAAGTGTCTGCGAAATGCCCGTGTTTTGTGAGTAACGCTTAAGCCGTTGTGGCTGTCTGGCTCCTTTGGGAAGAAGCAGAGAAAATGGATCTGTTTATGGTTGCTGTTTGGATTGGGGGGAAAGGGGGAGCTCTAGGGCAGGTTTGTGCCTACTTAGCAAAAGTGCTCTCACGTATTGCTTCTCCCCTCTGCAAAGAGCTGCAGCTGGTTGGACAGAAGATGGTGAAGCTGGACTGTTTGCAGATCAGCTTTCCAAGTGCACTTTATGGTTTCTGCATAAGTTTCCAGATCTGTGTCTAGGCGATACATTGCATATGTCCCAACCTTGCTCCCTTTGGAGTTTACATCATTTGTTTTTAAACTTTCAGTATATTTTCTCTTCCTCTTCCAAAAGCTGTAAGGAATTAGCTGCTAAACTAAAACAGGAGGGCAATTCTTCTGCTGATAAAGAGCTGATTTTTGGCCCTAGCCGCTGTTGAGTGCAGAGCCCCAGTCTGTAGCACGGCTTCTAGAGCAGCTCCTGTCTTCTGCTGCCAGAGAAGTAGTGCTAATGCCTTCCGCATCGCAACACGGGCGAGGAGCCGGGATGGAAAACTCAGAGGTGAGGCCAAAGTGGCAAAAGTAGGATGGCCGAAAGGAGATGTTGACACCTTGGCCAAATGGCTGCAAGCGAGCCCTGGTCATCGTTCTCATCCGGGGCTCCGGCTTCACAGAGCCTTTCCAAAGGCTGCAGGAGGCTGTGACTTCCCTAGAGAGCCTGGCGGCTCCCGGTGATCTGCTGAGGCTGAACTGGGGGGAATGTGGCTATTTTCTCAGCTATTGAGGCATCGCGGTGACAGACGTGATCGGACGAGTCACAGAGGGTGTGCGTCCCATCGTGGTCTCCCTCGCCTCTAGCTTCACTTTGGCACTTGCGGGTATCCAAGCATATGTGCTGGTTTGGACAGGCCCCCACTCCCCACCCTGGCCAGCTCAGAGGGGTGCCCAGTCAACGCATGCGTCCCACTTTTTTTAAAAACTATTTGTGTGCTTTAGAGCTCTTTGCCTGCGAGCTGGGAGATGGACTCCTGCTCACCCGACGTCCCAGAGGCTGCAAAGCTGCTCTGAAATCACACCAGCGAGGCGCAGGAATCCGTGCTACCCGAGAACCCAGTGGGCAGAGGTGCAGAGTGGTCCTTTCTCCACTTGTCAGGCTAGAAAGATGGGCTGTCACCCGTCAGCTGGGCGGGAGGATTGTGGTTTAAAGCTGGTTTCCAAAAGCAGGGGTCATTGACCGTTGGTCTTGGTCAGTCCTGAACTCAGGGTAACTGAAAGGAGGAGAAAGGAGTAGTATTACTTACTTCAGTACCAGGAAATCAGCATCCCCTACGGGAGCCAAGCTGCCAGTTTCTATGGATTTTTTTTTTTTCTTTTTTCTTTTAACTCCCCACTGGCATTGCACACACAAATTCCCTTTCTAGGGTCGGGTTTCCCGGGAGTCTCGGGCCTTTAGCTTTTCCCGCTAGTCCTCTCGCTGAAATGGTCTGGCAGAGAAGCTGGTTTTACTGGGCTGGATCAAAGCACCTCCCTTCTCTGGTGGCTGGCCTCCCCAGCTTTCTAGCAGCAAGCCTTGCACGCCCTTCCGCAGCAAGTCCCGCTGGCGGCGTGGGAACACCCCGAGCGAGAGGAGGTGGGGAGCAGGAGAGCATCTCGTTACTAAAGATGCAAGCTCTACAAACTCCAGCATCGCAGAAAGGTGATCCTGCCTTTAAACCCCCGCGTTCGCCTCTGTAACGCTGCTCCGGGGAGTGAAGTTTGCAGGATCCGCCCAATCCCAGGCTCAGTGGTCCACGTTTAGCCCCGTGGCCCCCAAGAGAGAACCGAGCGCTTTCTGGGGTGAGGCCATTTTGGTGGGCCTTGCCGTGGGCGCACAAAGAGCTCTTGCTTCCTGCAAACCAAACTTTCCCCTCTTCATAAATTTTACATGTAGAACTATATATTCTCCTCTTCAGGAAACTCCTTCTTGTAAAGGATAGATTTACTGTCCTGCTGAGTTAAACAAGGGAGATGCTGGACTTCCCCTTTGCTTTGGAGATTCAAACAAATGACAGGTGATTTATTTTTAGCATTATCTCGCTGTCTGTGGGGAAGGGGAGGCATGTTACAAAGGCTCAGGGGCGCTGGGAAGTAAAGCTATATATGCATAAAGACTGTTTCAATGCTGAACACTATAAATTCAGTGGCGGATAAAAAAAAGAATGTAAATATGCACTTAATGCAGAATTTTATGGATGGTCGTAATTTAATATATTGCAAACTTTGTAAATACTTGGAAAAAGCCTGTAAAGTGTGTAAATAAATGAGATTTGTATGTAAGGAGAATTAAAAAAGTTTTTACTTTTTGCAATTAAATACAAGCGTTAATGCACCTTTTCCCCTTTGCTGATTTTTTTTTTTTCCTCTTTTCATGTTGCATGTCTGCCATGGAGGGGTTATTTAACCCTTTTTAGGGCACTGTTTCTAAGTGGAAGTGTCATTTTAAGTGAAAAGGCGGAACACTTTTGTTTGGAAAATGTCAAAAGAAACACTTTGGAAAACGTTTTGTCAGTTTTAGCCTGGTTCCCTAAACAAAGTCAATGCGACAGCTCTGCCTCTCCCTCCTTTCTTCCTAATAACAACCTCTGCTCCTTCCTTCACAATTCAGCTTATTTCAGCCAAACCTTGAGGGGTAGAAGACAATAAGCTCCTCCAGAGTTCATAAAAACAGGCAAGTAGAGGAGAGAAAGATCCCGCTACTACCGGGACAATGCGTTAGCCTTGTTCGGCACCAGAGAAGCCGCGCTGAAGACGCTCGAGACATCGAGTCAGTAGAAAACCGGGCTTTGTTGCTTCTGCAGTGCAGAGCTGTGCCTTTCTGGAGCCCACTGGCCTTGAGCCAGACCCTGCACCCCCCGTCAGGTGTCGGCGTGCAGCTCCTGTCGCCTGTGCCGAGGCTGCTGGCTCCCCGGGGCTGCGGTGGACGGGCTGTTCCTTGAGTGAGCAGAAGCAAAGCCGCATTCCTCACGCGCTTACCTAATGCCGGCTGGACACGAGCTTGTCAGCTCCAGGGTGGGGCTTGGACCTCGTGCTGTTAATCTCGATGCTTCAGACATTGGCTCCAGAAAGAGCCGGCGGGGCAGGTTGGGGAGTTGAGAAATGGCCCTGCACCCCCTTTGCCAGCAGCTGCGCCTGACCTTGCCGAGTGCATCGGCTGTTACTCACACTTCCCCATGAGCCACGTGCCCCGGTTGTGACTCCTCCAGGGCTGTTTTCTCTTCCCCACGAGCACGGTGCGTCCCATTTTCCTTAATCCTTGTTGCTGCGCTATCTCCTGCGAGGCTTGGGATGCTGTAGTGCCAGGGGCTACGTGGAGCTTGGCCCTTCATCTCCGCATCGCGTTTGCAGAGAGCAGTACGTGCGTTGGGGTCTTCTCAGCACTGCCTCGTTCTTCATGAGCCAGGCCACGGCGAGCTGGCCGACAGGAGTTGGAGCCGGTGTTGATCCTTTCTAGATGTTTCTCCAGGTCTCTGGAGATGCGGCAGCAGAGCTTTTGAGGTGTCTCATGATGGAGACAGGTTTGCCTTGACCCAGGTTCCAGGCCTGCAGTTCGCCTTAGCAATAAATGGGAACCTTTGAGTTTGACCAGATGAGTTGAAGGTAGCCTGTTGAGCTGTTAGCCTCAGACCCTGCTTGCAGAAATTGTTGGACTATTGAGAGTATGGTAGACACTGGACCTAACGAAGGTGAAGGTAATATGCAGAGGTAAGAGATTTGGGGAGCAGTAGGAGAGCTGTTGTGGCAAGAGAGGTGATCAGCGTGGTCCAAAGCAAAAGGAAAAATGGCAAAGCGTTGCCTGGGGAGCTGGGAGGGGAGAGGGGGAGGCAGAGCCGACAGCGTGTGATTAACTTGGCTCTGCTAGCCAGAGCTGCCCACCCCCTGATCCTTTCTAATAGCCTGCGATCCCCAAAGGCAGCTCCTGGAGCAGAGCCGGGGCGGTTGCACAATCGCAGATGGGGAGGAAGAGGCTGCAGGCAGGCTGGAGGGTCTCTGCCAGACAGTCTCCATGGCGGGGCGACTCGGGACACCTGATGTTGAGCCCTCCAGGTGTCTGCCTGGGGAAGGAGCACAGCCTGCCCCTGCAGATTCCAGCCAGCCCTGAAGGCAGCTATAGGCTCTCGGCTCCCCTTTTTTGGGGGCAATTTCAGCTCTATATCCTGTTCTTCCTCTCCTGCTCGCCCTTCTCCAGATGGCACGGGGAAGGGGCATCAACCCTCTGCTTACCCCCACCTTCCCAGCAGGCTGGGGGAGCCCCGGGGGGGCCGTTCCTCAGCTGCCCACTGCTCTCCCCCCAACACGGCCGGTGCACAGACAGGGGCCTGGACAGGGTGGGCTCTGACTCCCAGCTGGGGAGTTGCTGTGCTGCAAACTGTTCTCAGCAGTTGCATCTTGTTGCCTTCGTTTCTAGACGCAGCTGCATTCCAGGGACAGGGGAGGACCCTCGTGTAAAACAGGGCTTTGCTGGTTGCTTAGGGATTATTATTACAGTTTAGGAGAAAAGGGACAGGAGGTAGAAGAGAGGACCCGTAACTGAGGGCTAAGGGGATGTCTGAGGTTTGGAGCAGCAGAGGTTTGGATGAAAAATGCCAATCCGGGGATTGTGATTCAGGCACAGGGTCTGTCTCGGGGAGTGGACCCTGCACCCTCGGCACCAGCCGTACTGCTGCTTCTCCATCAAGGCCAATATGTGAGATGGGTGTGTACCGTGTGGCTCCGAAAGTGCTCTAATAAAGAAATACATTTCCTCCCCAATCTTCAAGCTGTTGGGTGTTCCTTGCTTTTGGGAGGTGCTTTAAATCTGACTGCCAGAGCCGTGGGCTGCTAAGAGCAGAAGCTGGCTGAACGATGCTGAGCTCAGGTCTTCCTCCTGTTTTCCTGTTGCTCACAGCGCTGGAGCTGAGCTGGTCCCTGAGCGATGAAGAAAAGAAGATAATCTTGGATGGGCATAATAAATACCGCTCGCAGGTCTCTCCTCCTGCTATGGATATGCTGAAGATGGTAAGTGGCTTTTATTGCAGGGGAATGTCGGAGGGTGTTTGTGTAGCGCAAGCCTCGATCTTAGTGCTAGGAGTGATCACGGTGTTCTTAGGGGAGGCAGAGCAATTCTTTTGTAGGGCTACAACTAGGTATCAATGAAGGGGTTCCCTTCCCTCTGAAGAGATGAGTTTGCTTTCACCTGCAGAGTTGTCTCTGATTGTTTGTGGAAGTTCCTAAGTGTGACCCGAGTCCCCTGATGGGCTGTGTGAGGGCGATGCAGCTCTCACTCGCGTGTGCGCCAGCTGGAGCTCCTTGTGATGGGGAGGAAAGGCAGGCGAGACATTGCCGTGAGCAGGTGCCCCAGGCTGGAGGGGGAATCCTGCTGTGTGGGGCATCGCCTGGGGCGTTTTATTTGCCTTTGCAGGTGAATGGGCTTCTATCTATAGGAGGGAACGTCAACTTCAAACATGACAACTAGGTCATTCAGTTATTTGGGCTTTCCATCACTCTCCTAATCCCCACCATGACTTGTGCATGGCTGTCTTGGAAGTGAGGGATCTCCCATTTTGCTTGGGGAAACTGAGTCAGGTGCCCGCCATCACTTGCGGCTGCAGTGGCAGCAAAAATGAGTTCTCGAGCTAGTGCCGCTTTTTGTCTTTTTTGGACCCTTGATTTGATTAAAATTCGGCTATCGTGTCTTATCTTGCACCGCATGTGATTTTCCTCACTGTTTGCAACACGCGTGGAGGAGGAGGACAAGCGTTTATCATGGATAGTTGGAGTGCTTTGCTCTTTCGGTCACCGAGTGCTTGGAGGAGAACTCCCTGCCTGGCCCAAAAGTTGCAGAGGCTGAATTAAACCTTTGTGGGCTGGTAAATGGGAGCTTGCTGAGCAAATGAAGGAAAAAGCTCTGTTCAGGTATAGGGGGTCTGACTAGTGACTTCAGACTCAAAGGGGATAGAGCGAGGACCCTAAGCACCACGATCCCACGACAACCGCCAGAGCAAGGCACGGAAAACTTGGAGAATAAGGGTTTTGGAACCAAAGCCTTAGAGAACGCCTGAGGGAAAAAATCTCTCAGGGTCCTTAAGCCAGCAGCAATTCTGAACCAGTGACTGCTGCTCCTGGCTGAAGCTTTGATTGCAGATCGCGTGCTTTGAGATACTCCAGTCCACAGCGTTGCTCTGCTTCTGCTTAAACATACAGGACCCGCTCACGGTCCAGAGCCAAAGGCTTTTTTTTTTTGGAAGCACAACAAATGTCTAGCTTACAGCAGCAGAGGTTTTCCATGAGGGTGCCGTCCTTGCCTCCCTCCCAGGACGTTTGCTTGGGCTGTCTTCACCTCCAAGTTCACCTGCTGCCGTGGCACCGTGCCTGGCTGAGGTGAGCCCGCGCTTCTGTTTGGGACATGGATCTGGTTGCTGTGGAAATAGTTAGGCGATGGGGGGGATACATAGTCTAAAGCCACTTTTCTTTTTTAATGAGGCAAATCCTGCAGGTGTGAGTCCCCTGTTTATGGAGCCCAGCTCCATGCCGGAGGGAGAGGGGCGTGCACTCCTCAAACTGGGTTTCCAGCCATCGCTCTCAGCCTGGCTTGGGGCCGTGGTGGGAGGTCAACCAACACTCTGTGCGCCCATCCAGATACTTTGGTGTTTCCTTCCCCCCCGAGTCCCTTAGCGCTGCTGCTCAAGGGCCTGTCCACATCCCCCCAACACCCTGATGGTGACGTGCTCTGCATCAGGGCCATGCCCTGTCCCCCTTTGGATCCAGCCCTGGCTCCGGCCGGGAAGGTCCCCCTCTTAGGATCTGCCGGTTGCTGGGCTGCCTTCCAGCTCAGTGCAGAAGCAAAGCTGCTGTCTCCATCAAATGGTGCAAGGACAGTCCAAACAGCTGCAGCGTAGGGTTCCCCGTATGCCTCCCTGCGAGAAAACCTCTCCTCCTCCTCCTCCCGCGTATCAACGCGGCCGGCGGGGGACTGCGGGCCGGTGGGCTTAGCTGGCGGCAGGGCCCCTGCCGCTCCGGAGGGGGCTCTTGGCAGGCAGCCGGCCGGCCACGTCTTGGATCCAGGCGAACAGATGATGTTTCCCAGGAGCGCGTGCTCCCAGGCTCTGTGCAGCTGCTGGGGAAGATGTGTCCCGCTCTCCTCCCATCCCCACCCTGGTCAAAGAGGGATGTCCCCAGGCCCCCTCCTGTGTGACCCAGGGTGAGTTTCCTGCCTTCTTTCATCCGACTCCACGGTTTCTCCACGCTGAGTTGAGGATGCTCCATGATGATGATAGAGATGCTCCGGGCAACGTTGTGAGAGCTGTGCTGATGCACTGACCTCCTGTTTGACCTATAAGCTAAGGTTTGGTTTGTGCTGGGACTGGCTGTGGAGCTCCCCTCTCCTGAGGACTGTGTTGGGTAGGGATTTGAATTTTACTCATGAATGGGGAAATTGTGGCCAGAGAGCCCAGCGGTCCTTGTGTATGTCGGAGAGCCCCGTGTCCCTCTCCGTATGCTGATGCCGAGCTCCTTTCAGAGCTGGGACACGGAGCTGGAGGCCTTTGCTCAAGCCTATGCAGAGAAGTGCATCTGGGACCACAACAAGGAGAGGGGACGACGGGGGGAAAACCTCTTTGCTATGGCCCCAACCCTGGACCTGGAATTCGCTGTGGAAGACTGGAATGGGGAGGAGAAATACTACAATCTGACGACTTCCACGTGTGTCCCCGGGCAGATGTGCGGCCACTACACCCAGGTACCAAGCTGGTGGGGCAGAGGGATGGAGTTGTCGGGAAAGGAGCTGTACCAGAGCCCCAGCTCCTCCCAGAGTCTTTGCAAAGGGATGGGGAACGAGGCAGGAATCACAACGATACAGGGGGGCTTGGGCATGGCGCCAGCCACGACCAGCCTTTTTGGAGAAGACCTCTTTTAAACAAGCTCTGCAGCCCTTTTTGGCTACTCGGCAGAGCTGGGTGCCAGCTTGTCTTAGGCAGAGATACGAGGTCTCGGTGTTTCTTCACAGCTAGGGTGGGAGCAAGGAGGAGCAGAGATGGTGGTGGTAAATATGAGGATGGATGCATGGAGGGTTGCAGGACCAAAGCAGAGATGGTGATGCTCTACCTGGGTAGACTATATGGTAGGAAAGCTGTGGCACTTGGATGTGCGGACTGCAGCCCTAGGTTGGGAAGGTGATCCAGGCAGGGGCAAGGGGCAGGATCCTGAATGCTAAAGCAACGTGGGGATGTGGGATCTGGGGCACACACTGAGATGAGGGGGACGTTGGTGTGGTGACAGAGCAGCCTTCAAGGCCAGGGGACAGATTGCCAACAGGGTGTCCGCCTTCCTCCAGTCACCTCACCTTCACCCCTGGTCTTTGCCTTAGGTGGTCTGGGCAAGCACCCATCAGATCGGCTGTGGGGCCAAGTTTTGTGAGACGATCGATGGAATTGAAACAGAAGACATGTACCTGCTTGTTTGCAACTATTATCCCCCGTAAGTCCCATGCCTCGCGTGGCTTGGTGCATCTTGACGGGGTTTCTGTGCTGGAAATGTCCTTCCTTCAGTCCCTATAGCAGAGCAGGATTTGGCCTTGTTCAGAAAGAAAAGCGAAGCAATTCCAAGAAAGGCCTTTGTTATCTTGGGTTGGTCACAGAGGAAGGAAGGGTTGTGTGGTGATCCTTGCCCGTGATTGCGACTGCTGAGGTCTGGTTCAGCTCCTGGCCCAGACCTGAGGAGGGGGGTCCCCGCCGAGAGCTGCCCAAGGCTGATGCTGCAGTAGCTGAGGGTACAACCGGCAGCTCCCTGCTCTGTGTCTTGTTCTTCCCCGTCGGCAGCAGCAGTCGCCTGGGGTGGAGAAGCACGTTTGCACCAGCAGGAAGGGTTGGACATGGGAGGAGAGGTGGGTGGCTGCTTGCAAAGCTCTGGGACTAGCCTTGGGGACCACTTGCTTGGAGCTGGTGAGACCAACAAGAGCGGCCGGTTGCTGCTGACCTTCTTAGGGGTCTTGAGCAGAAGGGAGATGAAATCACGTGTCCAGATGCCCAACGACTGCTCTATTCTAAGGGGTGGGGAAGGATCTGGTCCATGGAGCTGTCTCCCCTGGTTTTAGCAGCCTTGGGGTCAGGCTGTTGAGTAAACGGCACTGACAGTCTGTGGCAGGAGACCAAGACCTGCTTTTTACATTAATCCTGAGTTTTGCCTTGGCTGGGATATTCCAGTTGAATCAGACCCCCTCTTTGGGATGGGTGTTTCCCCCTCTCCTCACACCTTCTTTTTCTTGGCGTCTTCTGCTTCCAGGGGTAATATGAAAGGCCGAAAGCCGTACAAGGAAGGACCCTCATGCTCGCAATGTCCCGAGGGTAGAGTCTGTGTCAACTCCTTGTGTGGTAAGTGAAGCAAAGTGGCACGTGTCCCTTGACAGGCTGCTGGGACTCGGACCCCTGGATTGGGGTCCAAGCTCTGAACCCTCCTGGAGCTATCAGGAAGCCCTGGACCAGCAGTTCCAGGGCTGGATCATGAGACATCGGGTGCGATGGCAGCCCCTAAGACAGGTCAGCTGCCTCAAGATGAGGAGGATCAGACAAGGACCTCGTACCCCCTTAGCCAGCAATTGTTGTCCCATGAGGACGCCCTGATCCCAAGGGGCAGGAGGTTGTGTGAGGGAGATGAGATGTCTCCAGGTTGGGAATCCCAGAGTGTGGGGGATGGCCCAGAGTGACCTGAGAGGGATTGGCTGCTGCTTCACCCCCCAGCTGATTTCTGCTGGCCCTGCTCAGTGCAGGGGATCTGTTGAGGTCAGCTGACCCCAGCCCTAACCCACGGCACTTTTCGTCTCTTACCAGAACCCACTGTAGAAGAGACCACTCCAGCCCCTGTGACAACAAAGGCAAGCCCATCCACCCCAACCACAGCCACACCAAAACCCACAACCACAGCCAAACCAGAACCCGCAACACCAGTGCCCACCACAACCACAGCCAAACCAGAACCCGCAACACCAGTGCCCACCACAACCACAGCCAAACCAGAACCCGCAACACCAGTGCCCACCGCAGCCAAGCCAAGACCCACAACCACGCTCCCAACCACAACCACAGCCAAGCCACCACCCGCAACTACAATCCCAACCACAGCCAAGCCACCACCCAAAACCACACTTCCAACCACAGCCAAACCACCAACCACAACCACGCTCCCAACCACAGCCAAGCCACCACCCACAACCACACTTCCAACCACAGCCAGGCCACAATCCACCACCACAGCCAAACCACCACCCACCACCACGCTCCCAACCACTACAGCCAAGCCACCACCCACAGCCACGCTCCCAACAGCCAAGCCAAAACCCGCAACGCTAGCACCCATCACAACGACAGTCAAGCCAAAACCTGCCACCACGCTCCCAATGACAACCCCAGCCAAGCCAAAACCCACAACACCAGCAGCCACCACAGCCATGGCCAAGACAAAACCCACCATGCCAGCACCCACCACCACTACTGCCAAGCCAAAGCCCACCATGCTAACAACAACCACAACCACTGCTA